AATTTATCAAACGTATCGTTGAAAATTACTAAATTTGATAATTATGTATTTAGGAAAAAATGTAATTAGGTGTATATGCCTACGAATTAAAAATTATGCTATGAAGCCGGTAAAATGTATAAAACCAAATTTATTCACAACTATTATACAAGCTTAAAACTTTCAAGTTAAATGAAGTTGTTAAAATTTTATGAATGCTATGCCTAATGAATTATCATTAAAAGTAAAATAAGCCCTGAATCTATTAAGATTCAGGGCTTATTTTACTTATTTATATTGTATAGTGTGTTATTTATAGTGTAGCTACAGTTAAAATAATCATCCTACAATAGTAATTATTATTATTCGAGTATTCAAGTAAAATTATTTAATAGGTAGCATAAATAAAAATTAATCTTTTATGTATACACCCGAATTATTGCTTATCATAAAGAATTACGATTATTCTTATTGAAAAATTATAGTTAAACGTAAATAACAATTAACTGTCCACCATTCGTCAGGAAAATTTCCACAGATAAAAAATCATTGTAAAACCATCCCGAAATTATCATAATCAGTTGTTTTTCATTATCGATCCCAACGATGTTACATCTCCGATTTCCTCCAACACAAAAAACCTAGTTTAAGTCTGTGACAATCATAGTTCTAAAATAATTATAATTATTTTTATTTTTCATATTTTACTTATATTGATTTTATTAGAAATATTTAATAATTTTTAAGAAATTTTTTATACATTTAATAATAGGTACTGTTTAATTATAATTTAATTGTTTTTAAAAATTATTACCAGCGTAAATAAAATTATTGATCTAAAATAATCTATAAATATCTATAAATATTAAAAAAAAATTGAAAATGTATTTTTAAAAATTGAGTAAATGATTATTATTAAATTCTGAACGAAAAAGAAATGTGTCTGAAAAAATGTTTTCACATAGGAGTATGTTTTTTATCTTTATCCATTTCCTTCGATAGTATATGTTTCCCAAAAATATCTGTGTACGTTAGATTACAAATTACCATAGGCGCCAAGATTTAAAAACATTATAGGTTACACCCCCCCGTAAAAATTAATATGTAGAGACTTTAATTATTTATACTTAATAATAAATAAAACATAATTATATACTTGGGTTAGTCTTCCTTCAAGTTATCAAAAATGTTTTGGATGAAGTAGCCACAATATAGATAATTATTATAAATTATATAAAAACTAATGAAATAACTGATGTATTTATTTAAACTGATTTTTAACTAACTATTCATGTATTTAGTGTTGAAAGTTTGACATTTTTCACTTTGAAATATTTCAGTATATTTTACAAAAACGTGAAACTTTGAATTTTTTTTTTTTATTGGTATTTTTTATTTACATCTTTTTAAAGATAAGGGGCCCCACTAAGAATTACAGCATTTATAGCGAAACTTGGTTTAATTTCCCAGGAAACATCTTATTATCGATGATAATGTAATGGTGTCACAACGATACTATAACTATAACTAAATATAAGCATACTTAGTATTTATAATAAAAGTATATAAATAGGTTTACGTATAATACTGTTATTGGTCAATACTTTATTATCATAATCGTAATCTTAACGTTTAAGTTAAAAATAAGAAAATTGTATAAGTTTTATTTTTACAATTATTATTATTATCTGTATTAAACATAAATAAATATTTACTAATTTAATATTTATCGCAATATCATTAGTCATTACCGTTCAAACGTTTATCAAGTACAGCCTACACGTGGATAAATGTAGTATAAAAATTCATAAAGTATTTTATGAATTGAGTGAAAAAAAAAACAGCATATTACGAATTAAACAGTCCGATTTTTAAAAATCTTTAGCATCTTGAGTGTTATTAATTTTAAATTGTTTCAATTTGGCAATATACATTAACACGGTGTACCGTAGATTCATCGTAAGCAATTGATCGCGCGACAATTGACCGCAAACAATTGCTCGCAAGCCAATTTATCGCAATTACAATTTACCGCACGATAATTGATCGCAGAAGAGAGCATTAACAGATTCAAAATCGAACAATATATAGGGAGCAACAAGCCCCCCGAAAAAAAAATTTACCGAGATAAAGCAGCTAAAATAAAAAAAATATGTACCAATTATAATAATAATACAAATATTAAGATTTTCTTCGTGGCATTACATACAATTTTCAATTGCAACTTTAATTTTTAGCATTTTTCATTACTATATACCTACCTTGATGATTTATTTTTTTTTTTTTTTATATTCAATTAAATGTACCAATATTATCGATTTATATAAAAAATATTACATACCTACTATAGTTTAATTTTTTTCATTTTTATATACCTAACAACATTTTTTAAACATTTTTAATCTAAGACGAAAAAATATATATTTAAACATGCATGTAACCAGAGTTGTGTCAAATTTATTCAAATTAAATATGTATTCAAATTAAAAATTATTCCTGAAAATGTTATTTTTCGATCAATTGTCGTGCGGTAAATTGTCATGTGGTAAATTGTTTGCGACCAATTGACGTGTATCCCATTAACACATCTCTATGCAGTTTTAATTTTTCATAATTATAATCTTTTCCAAAAAAATTGTATATAATCTGAATTGTTTTACCTTCACCAGTAATACATTTTTCAAAGGAACATAAATGATTAATTACCTTTATTTGAAACTAATTATTTAATGTTATTATTGTTATGTCCAACCACTCAAAAAATAAAACTTTAAATTTACTTTTGTCTGATGGAAATCAATGTGGATGACTGCCTACAATACATTTCTTTGGAATCTTTTTTTATTATCAAATCTGATATATTAATGTTTACTCATTAATTTATTTAGATTATCTTCCCATACTTATCATTAAAGTTCTCATATCTTTGCTGCTGAATCGATGCAATTACATTTTTTTATTTTAAGATGTACTTCTAGAAAATTTAAAGTTACTTTCTGAATTCTATTAAAACTACATAATTATAAAATATTATTAATATCATGATTGCATAGTTATTGTATTAAAATAAATGTATTATATTATTATAAAATAATAGTTTTTTTTTTTAAGGAATTGGAGAAAAAATGTAATAACTATTAACAACATTTGATAACATTTTACGGTGCTTAACATAATACCTATGCAAATTACGATTTTTTAATTTAATCAAATAAAACAAATTAAACAATGTATTCATGCATTTTTGTAATTTATAAAAATATAAAGAAATCAAACAATTCATTACACATTTAACGAATTTAATAGTCCCATTTGTGATTTAGAAGAGTTCATAAATTTATATATATATGTATATATATACCTACGTATATAATTGTTTATATACTTTGGAGGCTAGTTTAGTAAGAAATCGGTCAATGTGAGTTGTGAATAGAAGTCCACGTAAGCAATGAACGCGTGCCAAGTAAGAAAATATCGGTTATTTCCAACCGTGGTGAACCATTGTAGTTTATACGAATTATTTACAATTCTCGATTACAGTGTCTCTACTTGAATCACCTATTTCATAGGATCACCCACCTGCCCACCAATATTATTTACACGAAGTTACTGCGAGTATAAATATTTTTTATTTATAACTTATAAGTTATATTTCATTTTTCATTCTTATTGTTATAATGTGTTCAGTGTATGGATATTTTACCATAATAACTATTTTTTTGGCTTTGTTTATACAAAAACCACCTATCCCATTTTTTTATAAATCACGTGATTCAAATATAACCTAACCCATTCGCCGCTGCTGCTTGATCAAAATAAAGACAAATAGAAATAATGATGTAGAAAAAATGTACAAATTAAAATCAAATAAATTTTTTATTCTAATTATTCCTTTAGAAAAACACATTTTTAACCACATTTTGATTATTTATCAAACGTTCAACAAAGCATAATGTGTACAGGGTTAATACTTGTATAAAATAATTAATGATTTATAATAATTAAATACTACCAAGGCGTGGTGTGGCATTCTATAACTCGTATTTATAATTATATCTATGGTATACATTTTATTAAAATATGATCATAACTAATACCTATCAAATTCGAGGCACCTCCCGAACAAATTTATATTTGTTGTGTATGCCAACTCATTTGATTCATTAACTTACATAAAATATTGTTAATAAAATAATATTTAGTGCTGGTATATACAACCATTTTTTATATGAATAATATATTCAAATTTTTTATTCGGCAATAAAAAAAAAGTTAGAATGTTTTGATCATAGTTTATGATAAAGCATTTACTTTTCCCAAAAGTCTTAAAAAAGAAGCGAAAATATAGAAATCCTAAAAAACTTATACTTATTGATATGAAATAATTTGTTTGCTATATTTTGACTATACCCGAATGCATTGCAATTTTTTGTGACTTTTTATAAAACATAGCTTTTTTAGTGCATCAGACAGTTATTGTTGGAACTTTAACTGTGTATATTTTCTGTTATTTTCTATTTTTGTGATTATTTTTTTTTTATCGCATGAATGAACATAATGTTGCATTCCAACTGAAAAAATAAAATTTAACAGCGAATTGAAAAATAAAATTGATATACAAACTACTTTAGGTGTGAAAAAAAAATCTTGTGAATCTCAATGTCAATTAATATACAATGACTTATGCAGTGACCTTTAATTTTTACTTTTACATCCACAATTAAAGCCTTGTTAAAAATGTACAGATATTTCGTATATATTTTAATATTTGTTTATTAACGGGCGGAGCCCTATACAACAGTTTCACAGTATACAATTTATAATTTAAATAATTAATACAAATAACCCAAATAGGTTCAGACAACATAGTAATACAATAATTATTTAAGTGTAAGGGTAAGTATTTAGTAGTACACCTAATTTTACTACTATTAATAAATGGCGCTTTCATTGACCAACCTCATCATGTGGTGCAAAGGATTATTTCTCCCATAATTTGTAATGTGTACAAGAACTACAAAAGGAACGTGGTGTCTAGTAATGTGAGAAGGAACTTTGAAATTAACCGACGATAGGAGTTACGGAGCATCAATATATCCGTCTATCAGTTTATTCATTAACTCTATGTTAGCATTAACTCTCTTGTCTGCTAGTGAGATAAGACAGAGTTCCCGCATTACTAATGAATAGTCATGGGGAGGATGATGTTTTATTTTTAATATATAACCTGCTAAAGATAAGAATCTTCTCTGAATACGTTATAATTAACAGGAGTCTGTTACTGTATAAGGATCCCATAGGACAGATGCATATTCTAGAAGGAATCGGACCAAAGAACAATATAAAGATTTAAGTGAAGACGATAGATTGAATTCTTTTGATATAAGCATTATGAATCCAAGTGTTTTTATAGCTTTGCAACATATCGTTTCTATATGAGAGTGAAAGTTAAGATCTGCATTAAAAATAACACTCAAGTCTTTCTTACTACCGACAGAGGTTACGCTAGAACCGTTGATTGTGTACGTATAATTAATAGAGGAGCGATGTTTTAAAAATTACATACAATGACATTTATTAACATTAAACTGAAGATCAATACTATTACACCACTAGACCCGGTTGTTAAGACCATTCTGGAGTGCAGAGCAGTCACATACATTTTTAATTTTACTAAAAAGTTTTACGTCATCGGCAAACATGAGTAACTCACAGTTTTTGACAACCTCCTTTATGCCATTTATATATAGCGAAAACAATACCGGGGATAAAATCCTCACTGAGGAATTCCGGAAGAGACATTAGAAATGGAAGATTTTTTGCCGAATACTTTAACCCAATTGAACTCTATAAATGTCATGTATAATATTTTATTATATTTTAAATTTTTATTTTTTTTTTTTTGAGAATTACACTCAGTTAATTAGTTTAATAGGAATTGTTAATAAACTGATTTTATTTTTTATTTTAATTCCTTTTTGTTTTTGGTTCTTTAAATACATGATTTAAGAGTGAATCAAGTTCATAACCATTGTTATTTCATTATTAATTGATGCCATAAAATTTAAATTATAATGTATTCCTTAAAATTTGACTATTTACTCAGACTTATTACTCCTCCATGAAGCGAAAAGATTACTGTTTTCGTTCGATACGAACATCACAGTAGTAATATTTTCCTCACGACGAACTCTTTGGTCGCGATCAAATTGTTGAACAGAATAAGTTAAACCTTATAATTTTGAACAGATACTTTCGATATCTTGGCATGTCTTTTATAGAAATAGGAGCGGGTTTTTGCGTGTATTGATTTCTTATCAAACAGTAAACTATGTACGTATGTTGATGTATGATGTATGAGTGTTTATCGCTAATAAATCTGTGAAAAATTGCCGTTCTAATTGATTGAAATGCAAATTATTTAATACCTATACATTGGATACTTTAATCTTTGGAAACTTTAATTTGTATCTAACGATCAATATCAAAGTCAAATATAACCATCCACAGTCTTCGAATCATTTTATTTTTAATATGTTTCTCACGAAAAAAAATGTTTAAAAGGGTTGTAGACAAAATATTCATTGAACCGTGGTATCGGTCGTCTAGTGTAACGATAGAATAGTGTCACGTTCGCATAATAAATAGGTACAAAGTAAACGAATAAAAATACTTTAAGCACCCATGAGTGAAAACCATTATGTTTTAAAAATATTTCTTTTTGAACATCTAACGTGTAAAACGCGCCACCGATGGCGTTTCTACGACACAAGTTATAACGATACGCGCCCGTGCGTGTTGTGTTGCAGGAAATACGAACGGCGGAGTTGACGTACGAGCTACCACGATCACGTTCCCGATCGATGCGGTGACGGCGGCAGCGCGCGACAGCACCAGCGGCAAAGTGGCCGTAATCAAGTCGGTGGCACGAATCCACGGCGTGGCCGGTTCGGTGAGCGCATACGCGCGTCTGTCGACCGGCGCTGGGACGTGGGGAAAACCGTCGCTGCTCGGCGAAGTGATGTGGCCGACAGACGGTGGCGGACGGTGGAAGGACGTGGACGTAACGCGTCTGCTGCAGCCGCGGAAACGCAGTGGCGGTGACGGGACGGCGCTGGAGATCTCGTTGCAGTATCCGGCGGAGGCGGCGGTTGGAGCGATACGTTTCGACGATGACGACGGTGGCCGGCGTCCGGTGTTGCACGTGTTCGTCGACCGCCCGGTGGTCGACAGCCGGTGGACAGTGACGTCGTGTGACCACGAAGCAGATGGAGCGGCACGGAGGGTAAAACGATCGGCGCCGCCGCCGGGCGAAAGCGTTCGCGGCGGTAAACGTCGACGGTTGGCGAGCTCACCGCGCCGCGGTTTCGGCAGGACCGACTGCAAGACGTCCGCTTTAGCCGCACCTGGCAACGGCACCGGCAACGGTCCAGCGGCGAACAAGTGTTGTCGTGAGACGATGCGCGTCGCGTTCTCCGACATCGATTTTGACTTCGTCGTCGAGCCCAAATGGTTCGACGCAGGCCTGTGCCGCGGCCGGTGCCCGTTCAAGTACAACTCGGCCACGCAACATGCGTACATCCAGAGTCTCCTGTGGAAGCGGCACAACACCAAGAAGGGTCCCCACGACCACGGCGCGTTGGACGGCGGGGACCGCGGTCGGCAGCAGCGACGGGGTCGGCGAAAGTTGCGGCACGGCGGCGACGGTGGCAGGGCGACGCTCGCAAAGGCGCCGCCACCGCCGAAACCGTGCTGCGCGGCCAACAAACTCGAACACCTGGAGGTGTTACACGTGGATGAGCTGAACCCGACCAAGTTGAAACTGTCCACATGGGAGGAGATGGTGGTCGTGGAGTGCGCGTGCTCGTGATAATCCAATCTCTTCGGCCACGCGCGACCGTTTCGTTCCGGCTAAACGTTTTTTAATTCTACCAAACCTCTCCGAAATGCTACAGGGATTATTGTTTAAATATTGATTTATTTTATTTTATTTTTCGACGAATTTAACGTGCATTTAAACCTGTGTGTTTTGCGTACGGTAACGCGATCGTGTGTAACCGGAAACGATAGTCGACTGATCTACGTTCTGCAAACGGACCGCGTTTGCGACGACAAAAATGTCGATCGAAATAATCATGATTATCTCATACAGTTATTAAATGACTCGTATCATCAATCGACATTAGTCAATTTTTTTACATTCTTTGTACATACTTTGTTAAAATGTCGAAAAATAACGCGACTATCCACACAAAATATTATTTAAAAACACGTGTATTTTGTATATTCTCTACGTGTAATTTGACCAATCATCACACTCAATGGTAACTTTTATCCGTCACGACAATATTTTAATGTAATTTCTATTCCTGGCTATCACAAATATCCGATATCGGGCATTGGCGCATATAACAATAACAACACTTGAATATTACAGAAAAGGCGTAGTTCCATTCACTATATATTAACATAGTAACATATGAATTTCAAGAGCTTAATTTTTTTTTTCCACGAAACCGACTAGATTCTTTCTATTTTTGTCTTCGTCACAATCGAAAAGTATTGCTGTGGTACCGAGACGGTAACACGGTTCGAATACGACGTCACTTCCTCATACGCACGGCATTGTATATAAAACAATATTATACTGTAGTTAGGTATAGGTGTATATTGTTATGTTAAGAAATATAAAGCAAACAGTTTTTCGTTTTCGTGCATACTTAGTAACATAAAATTTGTCGATATTGGCATCGCATGGTGTTTAGCCTATTTTTGATGATGAGTCCTACACGGGTGTTATACAGGCTAAAAAATTATTAACTCAAAAAGATCTAACGAATTTAATATTGTGTATGTGTGGTATACGTTAGTTAAACTTTAATATACAACTATGTAGCCATTAATTCCAATGTTTAGATTTTAAACACAAAACAACATTTTTAAGTGTTAGAAGTAAATATCCGATGATGATTTTTTATTGAACATAAAAAAAAGAAACCGAGTTGTGTTCATATTTAGAAAATGTAATATTAAGTTAATCGTACAATACTACTTTATATAGTCCAACGCCGTTTCTTCGATAATCGGAATAAATTTAAGGATTTAGTATTGCAGTTTTCACATGACATTTTTACTTTTTATTTGAAAATTCAGATGCCTGTAGTTTTTTATCTAAACAAATATTTTACAACGCACCCATAAAAATATGCCCTATAGTTTTATAATATATAATTGAATTTTAAACTTTCGGACTACCTGTTGAATAATAGTTTTAGATAGTTCTCATATTTTTGTTAAACGCAGTGGTAGGTGGGTGCTTAATTTCTCCCTTTAATTTTATACCTGTATTATCTATATTCATAACAGTATGCTATAGGATCAATTTGAAGATCATAAATATTAAAATGTTCATTGTCCAAATGTGACGTTTTATATTTTAATTGGCTTAAGCTTGATTTTTTTTTTTAAATTGTTGTACAAAACAGCAAATGGAGAGTTAAGGCATATTAATAATCTTATTCCCTACATTATTGCGTGATGTCCTCAAGGTGATTCCTATCCTATTTTAATTATATATCTACTAATTACTATCTAGAGATATTTATTTTTTCTATAATACTTTTTATGTAGTAATAATTTGCTTTTTTTTGTATTTATACTTTATGTACCTACCGCAATTATAAAGTATATTTTTCGTAATATTATAAAAAAAATTTTGATACAAATGATTTGTGTAAAAAAAAAAAATTTAAAAATTCCCAAAACATGTGAAAGTAGAATCTTTAAATAATAATAATTAATAATATTGTGTATACCTATTTTATCATTTTTTTGTTGTCCTAAAAAAATAATAAGTCACACTTGTGCTATTTATTGTTACCAGATAATATTTGATTTTGCTAACTATATTTGTATACGTAAAAAAAATTAAAAACCCATATGGATATTTAAAGAGAAACGATAGGTAACACTAAGGAGATGACTAAAATACTATTACATTTTAAGCAATATTTTAACTGTGATATTTTTTTATTATTATTATTATTACTATAATTATTATTATTATTACTGAAATATATAATATATAATTTGAATACAAAATGTTACAATATTTTTTTTTATGTTTATATATTTGATTTTATAATAACGTGTAACGTCTATTATCATCTATATAATGTACAACGATTGTGAAAAGAATAAATGTCTTTGCGTTACAAATGTTTTGGTTTTTTTATTATTATTTTGGTGCCCTAGAAAATATCAAGGAAACAGTAACATACATTAAATGTCGGCGAGCTGGAAGATGTGCATGAATAATATTTACAATCTCAGAACTCATTGAGAAAATATGCGGCCGCTTACGATGATGAGCGCTAATTATAACTCGTATGTGGCTATTTTCAGTACGATTTGTTACTATTATATAATGATGATAATATATACTCCGCCTCGTTGTTTATATTTGATTTTACAAGGAAATACTTATTAATTATATTATCTAATGATATGTAAATTTAGATCAACTAGTCAACACTACCAGTAGAGGTGGGCGACGATTAAACTTGGTTATTAACGATCAAAACAACATTTTTTCGGTGGTAAATTATGGACTATAGGAATGTCTAAAAATACTTAAAAACACTAGCGTAGGTGGGCGAATTTGGTGGCATTATTTTATATTTGTAAACGACGTCGTTTTTACAGCACTAACCTACCTATACTCCGCGGACGACATACACTGTAGTCTGTGTTAATTGGCAGGTAACATTTTTCACGCAAAATTGTTCACCAGTTTATTGAGTACACGGAGATTTTTTTTAATTCGCGATCCACTGTATGCGGGCTGCAATACTCAATGATAATTAAAGAATTCAATAAATATTTCCACTTGGAAATTTTGTGCGAATAGCTTTGTTTTAGCATTAGTTCAGATAAAAATTGTTCTATAATAATATTATAACGTATATACGTACAAAGTGGACAATGCATTTTTTCGTTTTACCATTAAGGTATAGCACAAATAGACCATATGGGGGGGGGGCGAGGGAGGGACATGTCCCCCCTGGAAAATGTTAAACGTCTTGGAAAATTGTTTACTACAGTCAGAAAATATTTATTTAAATAGAATTTAAAAATTTAATTTAATATACAAAAATCTATAATTTGTTTATGAAAAATCTATTTATTTAGTTTGGAAAATCAGATTATCAGCTATAAATAACAATACGCTTTTTCGTTTCTATTCTATGGATAATTATCAATTCTTAAAATATTGTGTATTTCCAGAAATACGGTATGTATATGTGTGTGAGTACACAACCATAATATTTATATAATATTTGTAAATTAATATTTTAATAAATATAATTAATGTTTTAAGTGTCCAATTTATATTATTAATTAAATAAAAATTTCAATAAATTACTTTTATGGTAAATTGGTTAAATAATTATTATTTTATAGTCTTCCAGTTTGATATATATAATGTAATAGTATAATGTAAAATGGTAAACTCTTTTCTATATTTATATTTCTATTTATGAATAAATTGATAAATTAAAATGTTGTCCCCCCTTGAGAATTTTCCTATGGGTGCCCTTGTAAATAGACAGTGATCCATCACTATACATATAATATATTATATATACATATAAATATAGTACAAACTGGACTCGTAAGAAGAAGTCATTATATTTCCCTTTATGTGTAAACTTCATTATACGCTCCATACGCCAATAATTAATCGCGTTTCATCGCGTAACACGGTCCAGAGTATGATTTATTGCGACTTTCTAACCGTATACAAATACAGTTGTACAGTTTAGTTTACAGCCGCTGTTTGATTTATGATGTTTGCTAATACTTAAGATGTGCATTTATATTTGCGTAATTAGGTAAACGTTTTTGTTCTCTTATCACAGTTAATGAACTTGAATTTTTAGTATTTACATTAAAATGTAGACGGCTGTCAGTGTACCGGTTCAGCAATAATATTATAATGCAAAATAGAACGCCTTCTTATCAGTGCACTGGATTAATATTGTTCGGCTAACGTCATACGAATTTCACTTTTATCAATACAATTTGATGATATTACACCCCAAGGGTGTATGTAAACTGCGGCAACTTAATCTTTTTCTAAAAGTCGATATGTAAACTGCGGCATTTTTGAAAAAAGTATGTTTTAAAAATAAACGATAAAATGTTAACCCTTAGCTACACGCGATCATTAAGGTCTCTTAAAATAATTTTTAATAATAATAATATTTTTCAATTTTAAAAATTTATTTTTATTTATTTTTATGTCTAATACTCTAAGAGTCTTTAAATTAATAGCTGTCCTAACACATATTATTTCTAATTAAACGATAAACATGTATATAGGTTATCATAACGATATGTATATGTTAAGGTGTATGACCGCAGTAGGCGAATGTTGACAGTCATCGGTGTATGTTCACATTTACCAAAAATCGTAGTGAATGTTGACAAAATGGTCTTAACGCATTCATACACCGATGATTGTTGACATGTACCATCAGTGTTTGGTAAATGTCGACCACATTTGAAGCACGATGTATTTAAAAGGCATTTTGTATTATTTTGTAGAATCGATAACATTTTCGATTGTTGTAATAAATAAAACTATACATAAAAAATTACTATAAAAACTATATATTAAAAAATGAATTTGTTAAACTATATTAATTTATGAATTTATTACCTATCTATTTTGATGCCACGATAGTTTACCGTGTTGTAATAAATAAAACTATATATTAAAAAATTAATTTGTTAAACTATAACTATTTATGAATTTGATATCTCTATTTGATTAAATATGTTGTGATACATGTCAACATTCACTAAATAACTATTGCGCATGTCAACAAATACTGGTAAATGTCCGCATTGTGAGATATTTGAAATAATTGATAACATTCACCAAAATGATTGGTAAATATCAACATAATCTTAATTTAATAGTATAATCTTAATTTTTTTTTTCGCAGTTTACATATCGACTTTTAGAAAAATGTTAATTTTACCATAGTTTTCTACCCAAAAAGCGTGTGGAATTTAAATGAAAATCTAATATTTTTACAGTTGAGCAATAGAAGAAGGTATTATTGCCTAAATTATAGTTATAATACATTTTAAGAGTATATATAGAATATAATAATGTGCTTTTGCTAAAATTGGATCGCGAAATTTTAGAAATTAATCATAGTTATTTTAAATGTTTTATGTTGTTGGCGTACTTTATTGCGTATAATTTAATACAACTTCGCCTAAAGCTGATTAGTGCGGATGTTAAAACATATTTGTATTTAGTGTATTTCGATTTATTAGCTCCGATTTCGTCATTTTTACAACATGTCGATAAATTGTTTGTTATATTATTAGATTGTTTTCATAGGTCTATTAAATGTCCAGTTTTATAATCTACTACGCACTATCACATTACGTATGGCATGTTCAATTTTCAATATTACTATTAAACAACGATAAAAAAAATTTTAATGCCGAGTGTAAAGACAAAACTCGTGATACTTAAAAAATTAAAGTATGGAACTTATTCGAAGCCAATGGCATTGCTAATGTTTAGAGTTCGGATTTTAAATCAAATGCTTCTTTTTTCATATATAAGATAGAAATATAATTTTTATACATAAATTCGTTTCACGACATTCTAATTTTAAAGAACAAAAAATATTTTTGCTTTTGGCTTTTTTTTTGTTTTTTTATTGTTTTTTTTTTTCAGTTATTTCAGCTGTTAAATTTTTATATGCTTACTATAGTATAGTAAAAAAAAAAAATTAATTTAATTAATAAAAAATATGAAAACTCGAAATACGGAATAAATCGTTACCTATATTATATTACCATTGTTTTCATTATCGGCTTAATTGTTAAATTTATTAAACATATAGATTATTGATCCACAGACAGAACGTTGACAAAATGTATAAATATTGTTTTAGATGCAAAAAGAAGTTAAATGAAGCTAATGGAGATATTGAAACTGCAATATCGGGTGAACTATATCATGGTCGTTTGAAAATCAATGAATGGAAACAATTACTTACTAGACATTAATAATATACCGAGCGGCGTTTCATCAAACAAAATTAATTATCACGGATTTAATTTAAACGAAACTTCTTGCATGAAGTATAAATGGGTAACTTCAGTGGATATACAGCTTTCGTTTTTTATGCATAAAAACATTTTGACAGAAAATAGAGTCAGTTTCACAATTTCAAATCTTTCAAAATACACGGTAGTTAATTCTTTTTTTAATTTAAATTAATTTTTCAATTTTTTGTATTGAATTTAAAAACTAATTCATGTTAATTTTTGGTCATACTTTTTTTTTTACTTTTCTTAAAAATAAATATGCTTCATTTTTGCTTTTTTAAAACAATTTTGTCCTTTTTTTGTTATTAATAATACTTTAAAATCCGAACTGACGTCTTACGTTTTAAAGAAAGACAAAGTCGTACGCTTCTTGTCGTTGGTTTTTATTTAGGAAATTATGTATTACTCTCGGAAGCTAACTCCTTTGGTATCTATATT